TTGTGTTATGTCACATGTTATGGAATAACTAAAGAGGAGTAAAGAGGGTAAAAATGAATTCAACAGCAGGAAAGAAATCACACGGCACAAAAAGCACAGCTCGAAAATAGGGCAGGCTCTATAGCACAAGCAATTTGGGTGCTAGCATTCACTGGAATATTTTATAGCAAAGCAATCTAAATTATAATAAAATAAAAGTGAAAAGTGACATTGAGCAGCGATGATGCCCAATAAATTAGTTCGCTCAAGTTCAAACTTTTATTTTCGAACTTTGCTTATTGAAAATCTAATCGCCGTGGATTTCGGCCAAACTGTTGTCATTTGCAAGAATTGAGTATATTAAATCAAATGGATGATTATTTAAATCTAATATACTCTATTCGCACAATCATATGCAGTTGAAGAAGAATGAGTGATTCGTTATCAAACTAAATTTATTGGGCACAATATTTTTACATAGGATACACATGAGTCAAAATCAGTGCAAGATATAACCAGTGTGACTTCATTCGTATACAACAATAGTCATATTTTAGTATAATACAATATATGCAGTTTTACATATTCAATATTAACATTTTTACAAAGTATTTTGTTGTTACAAATGATAAGAAACATTCAGGCTACAGATTTGAAAAAAAACAGAGGAGTTTTCATTATAATATATAAAAAATCACTGAGACTTTATATATATTTCTTACTGTACTAAAAAATTGATTTGTTTTTTTAAGAGAATAAAAAACAATAAATATATTGAATAATTTGTTAAAATTGAAAAGCCATTCTCTTAAAATATATGATATTCAGATTAAAAAATTTGATGGAATAATTATTTTCTCTTAGATCAGTTCTATTTCTTCACATATAACTTTTTCTATTGTAAAAAAACAATTAAATTTCTTGTCTTTGACTATTCATTCTACATACCACAGCTCTTTGCAAATAAAAGAGTGAATGAGGGTTTCATACAGCCATTTTGAATATAAAATATTCATTTAAAATTTTGTTTCTGGATTTCATAAAGAAGAAACTTAATCATTGTTATGCTTCTTAATACTAAAAAGCAATTCTATTTGAACTCAATTTTAATGTTTGATTAAGTTTGAGATATGAAAAAATCAGTTCTTTTCATCTCTTCTCCCTTATTCATCACTCTGCAAGACAGTGATTGGTAAAGGGGTTGGGAGGAAGTATAGATTTTTGTAATTCTGATGAGTCAGTAAAAATATTTAATATCTCTGAATCAGTTCATTCATTAGCTGGTTGCCAATCTCATGTAGTAAAATATTCACTTTATGAAAAAATTCATAAAACTTATGAAAAAGAATTTTTGAAACTCTGTAGGTTGAATGTAATAAAAACACGCTACTCAATGATATGATATGATTCAATAATACCATATGTGATTCAAAATACATGTGTATTTTTTGTAAATTTTGTATCATATATCAAAGAAGTTGAGGCCAATGAGTTTTAGAATTTCAAGCATTAGTTTTAAAACAAACATTTATCATGGAATCTATTTTATTAATAGCATAAAATATGCAACATATTCTGTTACATTTTGAAGCACTAATTTATTTTAAATACTCTCTATAAATAAGTATTATAAATAGTACTTTTACAATTGTAATTTTCCCTCAAAATATTCACTCTTAATCTTGCAGCCTGTGATTATGTATTTCTTTCAGAAAAATCATATCATAAGAAAAATTAAACTAATCACAAAGAAAAATGAAAAGTAGTAACTAAAATGTGTTAAATTCTATTTATTAATGGCAAAAGAAATGTTGATGTAAATTGTAATTAATTCCATATTATTGTCTTACTATAAATTTCAATACTCCTCTGCCTAATAAATTAGTAATTGAGACCATAAAATATTGTTTCTCGCATTTAAGGTTTTCAAATTTTTTTTCTCCACTTGTATGATTTAATTTCTGAACCAAAATGGTGTATACACATATATATATAATTATATAGGACATGGATATAAATAGCTATTATGTAAATAATTTTTACATGTGCATTTAATTGCAGATGAACTAGACATCTCAACAAAAGCTTGTCAGAAAATTTGATTTTAATCGCAATAGGTTTGTGAATCAGCGAAAAATTTGGCAATGGGGTCAATTAGCTTATGCTTTTGTCCAGAACTTTATCACTTGATCCACTAATTTTGATTACTAATGAAATTTTAATTGGATCTTTTTATTATATATACATATATATACATTTTAAAGAAGAAGCTTAAAAAGCAATTAGGATATCTATGATTTTAAAATAATGGGAAAAAACTTTTAAAAAACTTAAATGGTTTTACTAAGTATTAATCTGTAAATTCTTTGAATTAACATAACTTTCTCTTACGAAAATTTATACAATTTTAACATGTCCTTAATAAATTTTTCTCAATGTTTTATACATATAAAACATTATCTTTGCCAAATCTGACCAAATTAAGTTAACTTAAATCTGTTTCACATCTCAAACTGAAGATCAAAAGATGCTTTTATTGGAGACATGAAACAGTGTTTTCTAGATTAAATCTAATTTTGTACTGAGTGAGGTTAAATTGAACAAAGAATATCTACATATAAAAAAAATTAAATGAAGCTTAGATAAAATGAAGGAATATTAAAAAAATGGAGTAAAGGCACATGCAGGCATGCAATTATAGTGCTAACCTAGCAAGTATCTTATAGAAACAAGTATTCTTGTCAAATGTTTATTATTATTTAGTTAGATTATAATTATGTTTTTATTATTATTTGTTTTAAATTTCTGAGTTTACAAAGTCAAGAATTATAGCTATTTATTTTTATTTTTGGTTATAATAATAAAAGAAAATTATGTGGCTAACCTGTAATCAGTGGTTAATTATATAATATCATATTTAACTTTTGAACTCAAATTAAGTTACATATAGTCATGTCAGGAAAGTATCCAGGAGAGACACCAGACCCTCCTATCAAAAATTTATTTTTACTTTTAAAAATGATTATTTTTGAATGAAATATACATGAATCACTTATTAAATAATCAAGTTGTTTCCTTCCCGAAATTCTAACCGAGGAGAAAAATTATTAGTCTAAGAAATCGTTAGCCCCTTCAAATTCTTTTTACGCACCTATGTATCTCATATATATACTGAGACATATTTCCATGATCGGGATTATTCTTCCAAATTATATTGAATTGATACTTTCTATTCTGTTGTAACATTTAAGCTTGAATATTTCTGCTTGCTAACATAAAAATTAAATGTCTTGCCAGTTCTTTTAACAATAAACCAGCTTTGTTTTATCTCAGATTGGATTAAAATAATAGAATTTCTTTCATATGATTTAATTTAATTAAAACACAAAGTGATTGGCACTTATGTTCACATTTGGCAAGAGGTCACAGCCTGAGTGAAATTAAATTATCTGTAGGTAATGCAGGTTATTCATTTTTAAGATTGTGTGTAAATGAACGAATTATCGTTTCATATAATTGATAACAAGAATCATAAAACACCAGAAATTCTTCTAGTTATTATTGCTGTATAATTGCACCACAACAAAAGCTACTGCAATTTTCAACAAAATCTAGCCAAGAATACTGGAATAAAGTACAAATAATAAATAAATAATGGAATAAAGCGGCATGTATGAAAATTAAAAAAAAAAATTCCTTCAGAATCAGGATTCTTCAAAATTACATGAAAAATTTGTTTCGCTAGCTTAAATAGACTTCCTATTTATAACAAACCTTTAAGGACTAATCGAAACCTGGCTTGATTATGGCTACCACATCGAATTTTTTGGCTACTTTTCAAAAAAAGCAACTCCTAACTGATGATGTTTGTTATCAATCTATAATATATATATATATATATATATTATACATGTCAGGCAATTTTTACTATTAAATTTTCACATGGGTTAAGAATCCTCTTTGTGTTGTATTGTTTGAGTTTGACCAAAATTACTTATGTGAATAAAAAAACCTAATTTTACTACACAAATGTGGTTTTTATAATAATAAGCACAAGCTAAGAAATTAAGTGATGAGAAATGAGGTATTTGCATTAGATTTATTTTTATTGACTTAATTTTATAGAAAGTTCAAGTCGTGTTAAAATTAGGTAGGTTTGAATTGATAATTGGAAGACAGGGAATTATTTTATATAATTGGAAATAGAAATATACATCATTAATGAAGGAAGACATTGTAAAAGTTTTATGAATTAATTGATTTATATTTTAGTATGTTACACGGCAAAATAATTATTTGTATAGTTCTTATAGCAAATATTTTAGAAGGAAAAATATTCTTAGAGATATATGTTTCAAGAAATTTTCCAATACATTTCATTTATTGACGACTTATTTTGATGTGAATTAAGATAACCATTTGATATCTGTGATATTTATTTTGAATTAAGTATTTTTTATTCTTTATAGGAAGTATGAATTCCTAAGAAACAGATATTACTAATAACAATTATTGGCAATTAAGATATTTTTATGACAGCAGGTTAGCTGAAATTTAAGTAGGCAGATATACTTTATATTAATAATTTTAAAGTATGATGTGTAAAAGTAATTTTTAGTTTCTTTTTTTTAAACATTAAGTATTCAATCATTACGTCCACTATCAATTCTAAATGAAGATATTTTATGTTATCATAATGGTTTTATTAAAAATTCGTAATAGTAAACTAATATTGGATCTAATCATCAACTCTTTTCAAGAATTGTTTTTAATATGAAAAAAAAAAAATCAAACTAAGATTCACCTAAACTTAGTCTAATTAATTTAATAATAATGTCTTAATAACAATGACCAGAAAATGACTAGATAATTAATACCGAGGCAGTGACTGCTTTAACCATTTTAGAGGATATTTGGTTTTACCAAATGAGGGAGAAACGTTTCTTTTTAGGTATATGATTAACAGTGATTTTTTTCAATGAAGCAGGGTGTGCCCCCTTCCTTGGCTTGAAGAGGTTTACCTGAAGTCCAACTTTGATCTTCTTCGTTAGAGCTCCCTGAGGGAAGACTGCTTGCACTTGTGGTACGACTGTCGATGACACCATTCCACCTTCTGGTCCTATGGCATGAACCTCTTGTCTCACTCGTGAAACAACTGCAATGTAGTGAGGGAATTCGGTAGTGAGGATTCTCGTTGTCCTTGCTCCATCGTCCAAACCAGCCATTTCTGAAATTAAATTTTTGTGATTAAAACTTAAATAATATTAATTTATGGTTCCCTATGAAAGTTTTGTTCATACAGTTAAACCTTTGTATATAAAAATTCCATGTATCAAAAATCTCTATATATTCTTTTTTTTTTTTAAGGAACCTTGAATTTTTATTAGAAAAACATATTCAGTATATCAAAATATTTATATATCAAACAAAGACTGACATAAACAAATATACAGTATTGGTGAAGAAATATAAAATAGAGAAAAATAAAATTAAAAACTAATGAATGGAAAATATATGGTATATTAGGTATAATATATTAAAAAATTATGTATTACATATTTTTCATTCATTAGTTGTTTTTGTTTAAGAAAATCTTATACAAAATAATTTTTTATTCATTTCTTTTAATTTATTTCTTAACAGATAACATATATTTTGTTTTTATATAACTGTTTTTGGTTGTTATCTTGCTTTACTCAGCCCTGATGAAGTCTTGAAACTTAAGCTGAAATATTGGCTCACAATAAAATAATTTTTTAAAACTTTTATTTGTGCTTCTCATTGTGACTGCAATCTGCAATTAACTTCCCAAACATATAACATGTTATTTTCATCAAAAAGACTCCTAAGTGTACACTCATAAGAATGGATAATAATTAAATAAGAAAACAAAAATTGAAATATCAATGAAAATTAGAGAACATTTAGTTTAAAAAGAAGCAATGGCAGTACTCACGAGTGATATTCTTTGAATATCTTTTCTAACAGATTAAAATTTTCATTTTAAATTCAGTTCAACTTTAATTTTTCTTATTATGAACATGGTTTATAAAAGAAAATTGTCAAGTGGTAAATATTCATAAGCAGGATAAATAATAAAGATGTTCAAAGAATTTACAAGTACAGTACTAAAAATTTAAATAACCATGAATCAGTTATTAAAATGTATGAACATTTTAAAAGAAACAGAGAAGTTTGAAAAATCATTGAAGCATTATGGAAATGCTTCAATCTCCCAAAATAGTTTTTAATACTTAATACTAGACAATAACGGTGATTGTTTTTAGAGTCTATGTCATGAAAGAAAAGTTAGGAAATTTCGATGCATCAAAGTTTTCTCAAGGCAATTTCATTTTGGATAAAAAGAAAATTAACAATATGCTATAAATAATATTTACATTAAACAAATGCTTTACTAATATATTATTAAAAGGATATAGTTTATTAATTGCTTTAACAATAACCTTCATTATCAAACGAGTGACTGACGATTTCTTGAATAGCTTCATCGGTAGCCTCAAATGTGTGTTCACGCCATGTTTCTCCATTATCACTTCGTAGTATCACCATTTCTCTTTCCTTTCCACGTAGTGAACCGAAGTGAGGTACCTCAATCATGACAGGTCTAAAAAACAGAAATTTTTTTGTAAATGTTTTATAAATTAATTTTTTTTTAAATAATAGAGTGATTACCTGAGACCCACACAAAGTATAAATATTGTGGAGTTGTGAGTTTGTGCGGGTCTCTTATAATGAAGGGATTGGTGTCTGTTTGGGCTGTCTGCAACTTATTTAGATAAATATCTATGATATTATATATGAAATAATTATGAGGAAAAATCATTTTATTGTTTTCATTCATCATGACCTCAACTGCAGAAAGAAAGTAGTTATCTGGTAATAAATGGTTGTAATTCTTCCTGATTAGAAAATAGTATAATATCCAGAAGAAATATGAATTGGGAAATATTGATAAATGGACAAATTTAAGGTTGATTTCAATATTAGGTCAGTGAAATTATATTAAATCTTTGTCAGGACATTTATTTTCTTGCTTAAGCAGATTAATTGTATTGTTTAGCTATCTATAGAAAAATATAGGAGATTTTCCTAATTTTTCCTTTAGTCTTCAATTCTTATTTGCTTATATTACTCTATTTTTTTATTTCTACAATTGTTTTATAATCATTTATTTAATTGATTAATTTTTTTTATTTCAACAGTACATTTTAGTGGATGTAACAATGAACCCATATTGCATTAAGAAACTATATTTCCTTCCCACACCGGATATTATGCAACAAATTTTTTTTCATAAATGAAATCTTATAACCAACATTGATCACTAAAAAAAAGCAAAATTTACTTTTAACAATTAAATATTAACAAATATTTTTTAAAAGGAATTTAAATACATTTGTTTTAAAATGTTTTCAAAAAAAAAAAAAAAAAAACTGAAGTTACATTTTCATGATAATTCGAAGCTCGATAATTCAAACTCTTAAGCTGTTAACTTCGGTAAATTGAAAAAAAAAATTCTTTTTTTTGATACACTCGATTACTCAAAATCCTTTTCATAACAAGAGGAAGAGAGAACGTTCTATAATTCAAACTAGGTCACTTTCCCTCTTTATAATTTGAGGTTTTCTTAGTAATTTTCACTCCTGATTTTCTGCATAATTACTTCCTTTCAGCTCAACTTAATTTCCCATACTCTTTAGTTCGTCACGATGAGTGCGAGGCAGAAGTACATCTCCCTGACTGTGTCAGGCAAAAAAAATTATCGCGGCAGTGGAAAGGGGTTAAAAAAAAAGAAAGTACTTATCACAAATTCAAAACCAAAATTACCAAAAAAGGGCCCTGTATGCTGCTACAAGTTTGTTCAAAAATATATTAAAAACTCTTAATAATGCAAACATAATGATAACTCAAAGTCTCTATAATTTAAACTTTGTTGTAGTCCCTTGAATTTCGAATTATCGATAGTCGACTTTAATAATAAAATAATTGGGATAAGTAGTTATGTCTTTAAAATATGACCTTCATATCCCACCTGAAGTCAAAAGCTGCTAGCCCAACAACAATAACAATATTGCCCCTAGGGAAAGTGTTAATAATTTATAGACTGGGGGTATCTCATACCCATCTTCCTGCAAAAGGATTAAATTAACCAATGATTTATTAATATTGATATTGATTGATAGTGATAATATTGATTTATCAATATATGATATTAAGCTGACTCCTAACTTTCATCCTTTCAACATGTTTATCCAGTTTTGAAAAATATAATTATTTAGTTTTCCACAACTCTTCTTATTTAAGCTGAAATGTTATTCATTATTTCCTTTACCCTAAAAATTTAGCACCAACTGGTCCCAATTCTAGAATCCTGCTAGCTAAGGCTTCTCCTTCCATCAATGGAGGAGGATGAGGTAGCTTGTCCCTCTTGAGGTATCGACAGGTGACTCTGAGAGGCATTGCTGCCCGTCGAGGTGGCACGATGACCCTTACTCCTGAGTGCCTGCATCCTCTCATTGCCCCTCCCCTTGCGTCCACCAGGAAGCTCACCAGGAAACTAATATTTCAAAAACAATGTATTATTAAAAAAAAATCATGTAATTTGCAATTATTTGAATTTAAAATAAATATTAACCAATCACAAAGTAGGCTTTTATATTTTATAATCAAGTAACTACATCATGTGAACTAATATATACTATAAGGTTAAAAAAAAAAGAAGCTAATAAACTTACTTTCTCCATTGAAGTTTTCTAATTGTCCAATACGAAAGCGTTAAACAGTGGTCGATAATATATTATTAAAAAAAAATGTTGCATGAATTCTTTTTAAATCAGATATGAAGAGATTCAATTATCTTACCCAACTTGCTGTGGATGTTTGCCGATATCGATGTTATCCGCCATATGGAACTGAGTGTAAGTCTCTCTGACATGCTGTGGGCTGACAGTATCGTCGATTGCAGTTGGTGGTCCTTAAAAGAATCATGTGAAAAGTATATGTTAATTATTTATGACACTAATGTGATACCTGCATGTATAGAATAAAAATATTGTCAGTTTATTGTAAAAAGTTACTAAGTACATTTCAGTCAAAACTTGAGTTAAGTGATGTTAGAATTTGTATAACAAAATATTCATGTAAATATTGTTTTTATTTTTTTTAGAAATTCTAGCTTAGGAAGAATATAAAAAAAAAAATTGTAGCAAAAATAAATGATTAAGCGAAAATTAAAAAAATAAATTATGTTTTAATTCAAAGTCTTTTTTTAATGCATAATATATAAATCTAAATTTATATAAAAATTTTGTTGAATAATAGTACTACATGTATCCATTCATAATATGTATATAACAAAGAGGAATGGATATAAATAAATTTATACAATAGTGATAAATAATAACAAAAAATTATGATAAAAGTAAATCAATATATGAAATTACCAAATAAAAGTATACAAATAGATGAAATTAAAATAACAAAATTAATAGACAACAGAAACAGCAAATAACAGTTGAATATGCAAAATAATTTATCCAGAATACACTCATACCTAGGTACAATGATTATTTTTTTAATAGGCTTTAGAATTAAAAAAAATATTATATTAAATTAAAGTTAAAATTAATTTTAATTTTTGTGTTTAAAGATAAAAGTTTTCATAAAATAGTACCTATTTGATTTCAAGAAAATAAATATCTAATGAATCATATTCAAGAAAAACTATATTTGTTAAAAAAAAAAAAGAAAAGAAGAGATATTAAGTCTCTTTTTTTCTCTGATCTTAGTTGTTTATCGAGAAAGTTACCAATATTGTCCCTGTTGTCCCTCTCATCTCGGGTGACATCTATTGGAAGTGAATCATCACCAAGGCCTTTCATTTCGTCAACTGTCAAGTAGTGATATGGCTGCTCACTCAGCATCGTGTCTTCACCTAATGAATACACTAGTTGTAATTATCGGTAAACTAACTTGTTGATAAAACCAGCATTGAAAAAAAAAAAACAATGATCAGAGCTGTTATCTGAATTCAAGGACTGAGATGTCATTCATTAGTTATTTATAGTTCATGCTGCTGTAGAACAAAATTAAAAAAAATAAATAAAATAAAATGGACTTTTACACAACTGTAAGAGGTTTTAATTGTTCGTTGTCACATAAATTATTCATTCAAAAAAACTATGACAACTTTACTAGGTAGTTATCTATCTATTTTTAGAACATTTTCCAAGTAAAGAAAAAAAATCATTAACTTAAGATTTCATGTTTATTTATATAAAGTTTCGTCACCATATTACATACCGGAGTTTTTAATCTATGGCAATTTACAAGAGAATATTAAGACAAATAAAAGTGTATTTTTGATGATATATTTAATTTGATAAAAAATTGAGGAAGGATGCCTGTCTATATCTTTAATTCTACCTTATAATTTAGATTTTAAAAAAAGAGAAGAAATTAAATGAATTTTTGTGCAAATTAAATTTAAAGCTTCTTTTGTAATTGAAACACTAAATTTTGTATGTTCTGTTAATTATTTTGTGTATGTACCAATATGCTAAAAAAAAAATAAAATAAATAAAGATGTATTATGTAATTCCGCTATTTAATTTTTTTCCTATTATTCTCTTTATCTATATCAACTAATTAATATGACATCCTATAAGATATTCATGTACTTTTTAATTTGAATAGTATAATGCATGTTACAATATTTGGTGAAGTTGTCTGTGGTTTTGTTATAAAATGAGAGAAAAAAAAACAAAAACAAGATTTATCTGTAACTATACATCATTGTAATTATTATACTTATAAACAGCAAACAATGAGTAATATAGTACAATTCTGAGCAGTATTTCTCCATGCTTTAGGTTTCAAGTTCTCAGATTTATATTGATATAAAATTAAGCAAAGCATCATTCATGCAACTTAAAATAAGCTAATTATTTTAATGTTATTTATACATTTTTAAAAATTGAAATTGCGCTATAAAGCATGATTTATTCAAGCTACAACTCATGTTCTTTTGTGCATTTCTGGAAAATATATTTACATTTTATTTTTTTTTTTACTAAATATATTCATAAATTTCACATTTATTTATCATTATATAAAAAGCAAATTTATGAAAAATCTACATTTAATACAATCACTTTAATCAAAAGCAATGGAAGAAAGATTGCTTGTCAGAGATTAGCAATAAGAACAATTAATAATAATTTTTACTATAAAGACAATATTTCAGGTATTTGTGTATTTATATTTTTAATGAATGAAGCTAGTGGACTGTTCTACATATCATGGGTGATAAATATTCAGAACGCAGTCATTACTACGTAATCAGGCACAAATAAATTTTTTTTGTAATGACTGCGTCCTGAATATTTATCACCCATGATTTATATTTTTAATTAAATTAATAGTTATTTTGATTTATTGATATTTAAACATAAAAATCTTAGAAGTATACAAATAAATTTTTATATTTATAGATGTTATGAAAGTAAATGAATAAGTGCATTAACTGTTTTTTCTTTTTGCCTCAGAACGTGATCTAAGGTAATTTCATGTTACCATCAATAAAATAACACTGATTATTATACGAGGTGTGGCTATCAAATAACGAGATAGATGCTGTAAAATATTTTATTTTGATTTTATGCATATTTACTTATTATACACCCCTCTATCTGTACAATGCCCCATGTGAATCTTCCATTGCCTGAAACCAGTACCGGAAGTCTCATTCTGTCAGCTCCTTCAGGTGCCGCTTTGTCTTTCAAATTTTCAATAGTCTTAAATCTTGTTCCCATTAACACAGAATGATGAATCATGATTTTTTACTTATGATCCTGAAATGAAGTCCCAAACCATATGCTGGAAAAACCCAACTTTACCGAAAGCCAAATAAGGTCGAATGAGCAAATCATAATTCAAAGCAGTGATGATTGTTGTATTAATTTTTCATGGGATTGTATACTTTCATTGGGTTTCTGAAGGTCAAACAATTAATCAACATTACTAAATTCACGTTCTTGCTAAAAGAGAATCCTGCAAGTGCCCTGAAGGAGTTGACAGAAAATGATTTTCATCGCTATTTCAGACTATAGAATATTCAAATGGAGTATAGTAGGGATAGAGGAGGGGTATATATTAAAGGTAATAAGTAAATGTGTATGAAATCAAAATAAAATGTTTTACAGCTTCAGTCACATCTCGTATTTTTTGGTTATTTGAAGCTAAAGCCAGTTGAGTTATGATGTGTATTGGAGTCATAATGTATAATTTCTGATGAGATTTCTTTCTTTTTTTTAATTAGTAAGTAAATTAATATTTCTGAAAAGCTTGTCAATTATATTCTTTAAATAGTTTGAATTAAGAAGTTGAAGTTACCTCAGAAATTTGTAAAATTGACTTATTAAGTGATTTATTTTTTATTTTAATTCCAGATTTGGTATTTTATTGATTGTTGAAATGGTAGATGTTATTATATGAATATTTATATAAATATTTATTCTGTTACTGTAGTAATAAGTAAAATCTAGTAATTAATACTGTGAGAACAAATAATTTCTCTGTTTTCTATTTCAAAATAGCTATAGTGACTAGGCAATCTTTCTTACTAATATTTTAAAATAAACTTGAATATATTTACACCAGTTAATGAAAAACAAAATGCTAAGTTATATTTATTTCTACTTCTGTAACAATGGTTGTTGTTTTATCTAAACTATATAAGTATTCCTCTGAAGATAAAATAGATGATTAAAGAAATAATTAAATAGAACTATGATGAAAACACTTACGAGTAAAAATGGAGTCTCCCCTAAAGTATGGGAGGTAGACGTGGGGATGGGCTGGGTTAAAGCCGTACTCGAGACCAAGCACATCACCTGCCATCACACACAGCCCAATCACACCGTGCTGTCCGAGAATAGCTAATGTCTGTTTATTGTCTGATTGAGTTTTGAGTTCTGGTTTATAATTTTTGTTAGTTTTTTTCTGAGTTAATTAAGCAATATTTTGTCAGTTAGTAATGCGTCAATGGAAACATATAATCTATTACTTATTTATAGGTCGTGGCAATCTCGAGTAAAGCCAAAAGGAGTACAACAGCGGGATCTATGCTCTAACTATAATCCTAAAAGCTATGGATCGACTGACAGTGATTTATCTACATTAAGCAATGTAAAGAAAAAGTATTCTATTTTGCTATAGCTCTTCTTTTTTATTAAGGAAATGCTATTTCTACAAAGCCTGATATATTTTATAAATAAAAAAAATAGATTTTTGAAAATTATGATCATTATGTGTACACAATGAAAACTCTAAAGCAAACAGCCAAGGTTCTGCCAAATTTATCTATTGCCGAGCGGCTTTCTCCTCCACTAGCAAATTCACGATTTAATTTTGGAGGAATTTATGTTTTAATTGTAAGTACACTGCAAGAAAAAAATATAAACAATAAAACAGTAAACAATTCCGTTAAGAGATCCTGAAGCAATAAAAATAAATAAATAAAAATGGTAATTACAAGAACAACTGCGCTTTTAAGGATAAATTAAAAAAAAAAATTGTCATATGCTTACATTTAGTAGCTGTCTATTTGTTATAATTTGAAAAGTATGGACAACAAAAAAATTATATTTCTATTTTTGAGGGGCTTCACCCCGAAAGTCTTCATCAGTGGATCACACTAGTGATTTTCCCTGAGAAGTAGTCCACAAGTGCTTATTAAAAAATAAATAGGTAAATGCACGTATTAAAACAAGTTGAATGAATGAAGTTTATTAATATAATCAATGAGTTTATTTTTAGAATTTAATGTATATAAAGATCGATGAATTACAGTAACTAAACTTGGTGAAATAATATTTTGTTGATAAAAAATTAAGACAATGTTTTAAAAGTATTTCTGTAAAAAGATAAATAAAATCATAACTTGCATGATGAAAGAATCGCTCACATCTTTAATAAAAAAGAAAGTGTAAACACCTTACAAAGTTCTATCAAACGTGCTATTCCAGAGACTTCTGCCATTTGCAGAGCGAGAGATCGGCAAATACCAGTGTGGATTCAGAAGAGGAAAATCGACTACTGATCAGATATTCACCCTTAGAATGCTGCTGGAGAAAATGATGGAATATAATGTTAAAACTCATCATCCCTTTATAGATTTTAGAGCTGCTTATGATAGCATTGATATAGAGCAGTTATACAGGGCAATGATTGGAATGAACATACCATCAAAACTGGTCCGCCTCGTCAGGATGACCATGATAGGCGTAGAGTGTGTCCTCCGAGAATAGAGAGACCTATCACAGAGGTTCATGACAACTAAAGGACTGCGACAACGAGATGCTCTTGCATGCCTCCTATTTAATCTGGCAATTGAAAAAGCTGTGAGGGATTCTGGCATCCAGACTACTGGTACGTTATTCAATAAGACCGTACAGCTACTTGCATATGCCGATGACACCGACATAATGGCCAGATCTGTGAATGCTATGAAAGAAGCGTTTGTCCTACTAGAAGCAGCAGCTGCAAGGTTAGGACTGGTCGTTAACGAAGAAAAAACCAAGTATATGTGTATTGGAGGTAGTGCTACCGCCCGAGAACAACACCTGAAGATCGTGCACTATAAGTTCCAGAGAGTTAATGAGTTTACATATCTGAGATCTCTGGTAATAGAGAAAACAAAGGAAACCTAGAGATCAAGATAAGAATAGTAGCTGCAAACAAGTGCTATTTGTGCTTAAATAAGCATTTCAAAACCAAACTCATCTATCGCAGCACAAAGACACAGCTTTATAAAACGCTCATTCGTCCGGTACTGATGTATGGCTCTGAAGCCTGGACCATGATACAAGGAGACGAGCGAGCCCTAGCGTTATTTGAGCGGAAAGTACTCCACAGAATCTATGGTCCTATGCGCGATGAACAGAATTGGAGGATTAGGCATAACACAGAGCTTTACAATCTATTCAAGGAGCCAGATATCATAAGAATCATAAAGCTTGCAAGACTTCGATGGGCAGGGCATGTGATGAGGATGAAAAATGATGAAATCCTCAAAAAACTATGGAGAGCAATGAACAAGGCACTGAGTATGTATATTTTATAAGACTAGTATTATAATGAGAAAGAAAAAGAAGAAAAGATATATTTATAGTAGTAGAATATTGTAATGTATAAATTATGTCCAAATGGATTGATCGGTATGCTGCGTATAAAGCAATCCTATGTAGTAGGGCAGCACTACTTTCAATAAAGTATTCCTCTCTCTATTTTATTTGTCTATAAATTCTGTATTTTATTTGTCTATAAATTCTGTATTTTATTTCACTTCAAGTTACATTTATTTTATTTTATTACAGTATTGCGTATGTTATAATTTTTATTTATTTATTGTATGGTATGCATGATATGAATGTTCTTCAATCAGCTCTTATACTCAATGGCCTTAAGTGTGGCGAAATCTATTATTTTTTAATAAAAATTTTTTTTTAATAAATAAAAAAGTGAAGTAACACTATTTCTTTTTAATACCCAGTTCTTTAATTTTTTTTTTTTAATGGCAAATTTTCATGTCGCAAGTTCTCCTATAATAGGGAAAAATACTTGAATGAATTGAAAAAAAAAAACCAAATTACTAAAACATAAATTTAGTATATGATGATGCATAAGACCTACCTCATTTATTATAAAATAAAACCAATAATAAAAATTTCAGAGCTATTGTTTTCATTATTCAATATTAATTATTTTCTTGATGTAAATGTTAATTTAAAAATAAAAACTCTCAATGTTATTTTTAAGCTCTTATGGTTTTTCAGTATATTTTTTATAAAAAAAATTAAATTGAATTAAATTGATGAATATGCTATGTTATTTAACAACTCGACCCTATTTAGTAGCCGTGCAATGTTGTTGTATTTCTTCTCTTCGTTTATTTTATTTATTGCAATATAGGTCAACTAAGGAGCACGTGTGTATCATTTTGATATTTTTTTCTTTTTTGCCCATATTCTTCTCCTATCTCCCACATTCTTTCCTCTGTCCATTTCTTACCTTATTGCTTCTTCTTCTCTATCAGCAAGAATCTTTTTTTTCATGCTTGTTGATTTGATCTATCCACATGGTCAACTATTTAGACATCCACTGTGTTCAGAAATCTTGAAAGATTGCTCCGAGCTACATATTCCACCCATCTTAACCTCCTTGCCTTCATATCATGAGATATTGATTGACCTGTTTTTTTTTTTTTTAGAAGGAATTCTTTATTGGTCCTCCTCCTCCATTCATTAGTATTTTGATTCCAAATTGCACCGGTATCCATGTCTTGCAGCCTCACATTAGAGTTGCCTTTATCATAGACTTATAATCCTCAATTTGAGATTTTTCGGGATTTAAATACCTTTTAAAGAGGGAAGAAAACTCTATTTGCACTTGATATGCACTAGTCTATCTCCGATTATTGGTCATTCGTGGAGGTTATTGTGGAGCCGAGGTTGAATTTGCCTATTCTAAGGAACAATTTTTATGTAGTTCCGTGTTTTTCTTTTGTCAAATATATAAGTCCTGACCCTAACTCTTTTGATATGGAGCTTTTCTTTCTAATTTAAATAAGATTAATTGATACTATTTAGCTCTTTAAAGGAAGAACTTATCCTGGTGAAGATTAGAGAAATGCTATCTGATTTTATTGATCATAGTTCTCATAGTGACAATGTTATTTTTGTTTTTTTATTCTGTATGGTCAGGTTAAAATGAAACAGTTTAACTAATCATAATAGCTATAGTAATGATTTATTTATGATATAGCAGGAATTAGAAGTAGCTTAAATGCTAATAAAGAAGCAGGCTAAAAGAAAATTGTGAAAAAATGAATGGGCAACTGAAAATTTATAAAAATAAATTCAAGTAGTTATACCTATTAACCAATCATTAGCACCTAGCATTAGCACTTAAAATACTTTTTTTTCATTGAAAAAGCTATTAGTTCCTATTTAGTGTCTTTTAGTTGATGATTATTTACTGATAATATTTCTCTTCCTTTAAACATATTGTATATTAAATTATATTATATATTTTGATGGTATACAATCTTTTTTACAAGTTACTAAGAAATAAAAAACTCTTCTTATGTCACAACTGATTACTTATTATCCCCATTCTTTGTGTTTTTTAAATTTGGAAAATTTATAATTTATTAATTATAATTAAGAGCCTTGATATAAATTAAACAGTCACTACAAAAAAGATCAATTGCATAAGCAAAATTAGTTACAGAATACTCATTAACTTGGCTCATTAACATGACTAAAAGCTAGATTTAGGTATATCAATAACTCATGATAAATTGGACTGATAGATGCAGAACTATAAATTACTGGCAGTTTTCTGTTATTATTGTTTAACTCTTTAGCAATGATGAGCAAGAAGGGTGGAGTGAGGATGGAATACTTTTCATCACCTCTACTGACCATTTAAGCATTTTTAACTTTCAGAAATACTCCTAATCTCCAGCCACAGAATAATTACCTATTGCCTCACGGGAAGGCCACAAATAATTTGAAATTAGAATTGATCACTACTTAATCCACTTCATTTAACAAGAATGAGTATGCCAAGCTCCCAACTCATATATGAGTCCACCATCAAGGGTTAATTTTATGTTATTTAATTTATTAAGTATTTATGACTACTTATTTACAGTTATTTTCTCTTCTCCGTTTCAGATTATTTGTTCATATATTTAATTTTTCTGTATCAATTTATTCAAATCAGGATTCAAGATTTGAAGACATAATAATTTTCTTTGGTCCACTGAACGATTTTTTTTTTTATATAAAAGGAATATACACCAATCGTCATTGTATAGAATAGTTGTTAGTTATTTCCTAGCTATAATTTTATTTTAAATACTATTATTTGGGGATTTTTCCTAAATAATTAATTTAGCTTGACAACAATCATTTCTATTACTTTTTCTGATGTTTCTTACTTCCTCTGGACTGTAATTTTCTTGCATTATCTTCAATCTCACAATTGAAGATGGTTGAACCTCTTAACTATACTCATACAAAATCTTTGCAAGGTTTCTAGGAAATGCATTTGTATTCAATCTGGAAACAGTAGTACTATTTAAATCTTGTTTGTATCAACATCCTGGCATTCTTTTCACCATAATCCTAATAGACTTTAATCCTAGTTTTTCTTGATTAAAGATAGGTCAGAAAATTTCTTATCTTCTACCTTAGAGGTTTTCCCAACTTATCTGAATCAGCTTTTTCAAAATTTTTTACCAAGGCACCTTTGTTGGGCTAAACAAATTTGTGGCGTGTCAGACTGAAAAATTCATAGCCCTTATCCTTAAAACTGTAATACAATAGAATCTTTACCAATTTTTGGTGCAATATATACAAACTAAATAAAGCTTAGCCTAGATATCTTAAATGTGGTTGATTTTAATTCTATTATTAATAAATATAAAATTATGAATTTTTATGTCTTTTCACCAAATTTACAATTTTGACCTTCAGTATTAAATATAGAAATAGAATATTATTGCTGTGGCATCCCAAAGTGCCACATCTTCCAGTTTAAGAAATCCTGATCTAAACAATTGGTAAACAATATTACCATTATTTTCTTGGATTAGTAAACTTGACTAAACTGATGGTTCTTCATTCCAATCTAACATGTTTTGACTACATAGAATTATTTCTTCCAAGATTATGTTTTTAAAATGCTTGATAATAACTTTTTTCTGTATATTTAAGCAATAAGTATATTTAAGCAGAATCCAAGTGTGGCGTTTTTGTTACTATTCAGCATGAGTATAATAATTAATGATTAATTAACTACTAATTGAACCCTACACTATTCATGCAAAAATTGCAGAATTTGCTATCGAGGCTGTTTAAAAACTATTGTTTCCACCCTAAATATTGTCGATCAAATAGAGAAAAAAATATATTAAATAGTCCTGTCCCAGTTACAGTCTAACCCTCAGTGCAATAAGTGGTTAATATAAGAAAAAGGAAAGCAGAGCTAGCATTGGTGATTGGTAAAGAAAAAAAAAGTATGGGATCAATCGAACTGTACAACACTCTTTATATAGTATCTGAAGTTTACCCAAAACCAATCATCAAGCTCTACTTTGACATGCATTCACATTAAAACAAGAATTATTGAAATTTGTTAAGAGTTAGCAATAATTTTGAATTATTCTTACAAATCAAAATTGGTTTGTTAATTTACAATCCTATTGAAAGATGTTAATTTAAATTACTTAACACCATGCTACAGAATAACTTTTAGTGAGAAATGAAGTGAACTGTGAAGATATAGTTACTATATGTTGTTTTAAATATATTACCTCCTTCATCCTCAGAGTCAGACATGAATGTTTCTTGCATCGTTTCTGGCGAAACAACTTTATATTTCTCTTCTGAAGGTGTTGGAGAAATGGGGCTGTCTGTGACTACTTTTAGTGTCTCAACAACGCTGATGTAACCAAGCTTTTGAGCGATCGATAAACCTGTCTGTCCTTGCTGTAAAAACAACAAAAGAAAGAATTGGATTAGAGATCAAAATTGATTAATATTAGTCAATATCCTCCTTATAAATCAACTTTTTTATAAATTAATATTACATTATACATTTTGTAATAATAATAATTTCTTATCAAGTATTGTTGTGGAACAATATAATTTTTTTTAAATATAATTTTTTTTTTAATTATTATTTTAAGAATCAATTGTTTTTGTATTTTATATATAAATAAGGGGAATACTATATTTAGTAGTTGAGCCACACGATTAATTATTACTTTTACTATTTGAATATATTAATATATAAATGTATTACATATAATTTATTTTTCACCATTGATGTTTATCTCTTGTAGTTTTTAAAAAAAAATCTGAAATTGAATAAATAAAGGGTTTTACATAATGACATTCCATCCAATTTTTATTCTAAGTTACAGGTGATTAATAAAAGTTGAACCCGAATTAGCATAGCCCCCCTTTTTTTTTTTTTACTTTAAAGTAATGTACCTACTGTTAGTGCAATCGACATAGAACAATTTTAAAAATTGAGTTTTTTTTTTACGGAAGAACATGAAAACCAATTGTTTCTGGATGATTTATTAGTATAATTTCATATTTTATTTTCTTCTGCTGTTTTTCTATTTAGCAGACTACTTATAAGATTTCCAGACTATAAAATGCCACCACTAGCACCAATAGAATTAACATAGAAAATTGTCACCTTGTCCACTAACAATATTGGCTCTATTATGTAACATATAATGGAAGCTACAAGATTTAGTCAAAAAAACAATTTCATACACATATCATAGAATATTATTCAGGTTCCTTCAGAATCCTTCAGTTGTGAAATGGCATGAATTTTACTACATATCTTTTAAATATTTTTGTCACATTTCACCTTAATAGATTAAACTTTTTTTTTTAAATAAGCTAGAAGAAAATCTGAATGATATTTAATCAAAGTAATGCCTACAACAGTAGCACTTCTTACATTTGTTTGGGCATTGGGATCAGCTCCAGCATCAAGAAGAGCCGCTACGATCGTGCTGTGTCCTTGTTGAGCTGCTTGATGGAGTGGAGTATAGTTCACTGTTGTGACAGCATTGGCTGAAGCATCATTTGCTAATAGAAGCTTTACCATTCCCATTTGTCCAAAATGACTAGCAACATGCAATGGAGTGTATCCAGCCTAAAAATGTTAAATTTAAAGTTATCATAACTTAAAATAACCATAAGCCAGTAATTTTATATAAATTTCTTTTCTTCTTTCTATGTGTATATGTTATGTTATATGATATTGTGAACTGGAATTCCATTTATAACCTAACTAACTTCAACCACTTTATCATTCACTACTCAGTGATGTTTCGGAATGTTTGGATGATTGGCAACCTATCACTCCTTTAAAGTTTGGAGTCAACAAAGTTAAAATAATAGTAGGGAAGAACTAGTAAAATAAGAAAGAAATATTTATTATAAAAATTAAAAATGTAGGAAACTATAAAACAGATGTAGAAGGTATTGGCATACATTATGTGGAAACAATCAGTAAAATTAACATAAAAACAAATTTATTTAAATTTATGAAGTGAAACAAATTTATTTCAATAGAAAAAAATATAATGAACTTCAAGAGAAGATCACCAGTGTTAAATAGGAGGGTAAAACAACATTAATTAAGACATAAGACATAGGTCGATAAGTAAAGTTCATGTAAGGAACATCTACTGTATGGGTAAATAACTGTATAAAAAACAAAATATTATTAAAATAACTAGGATAATACATTATTAATTATAATAATAAAAAACCTGTAGCAGAATCTTGGAGGGTCTTGGGTTCGATATTTTGTTAGGAAGCACTGTTTCTTACTCAACGGTTGTGCAGGGACCGTCAAAGTGATTTGACTAAGAGCACACTCAATTGGCAGCTTTTTACCATTAATTAATAAATTAAGATTACAAACTTCATAGAGTCTTGGGTTGCCTCTAGGAGGATCTCTCAATCACAGGATTGACCCACGACTGAGGTAACAGAATAAATAATTATCTGTCAATGACACACTCAAATCCAGAACATGGAAGTATAGTGCCTTACTCACTGAACTATCCTATTCCCCATTAAATTAATAATACTAATTACATGAAATAATGTTACGACATAAAATTTATAAATGAATTTTATTAGGCACTTAAGTAAAAGAAAGAATACAAATTGATGATCAAAATATTTGAGATAGGAAGATGATAAATAAAAAAAAAAAAATAAATAAAAAGAAATTGATATTAATGATAATGTAATTTCACAATAATACATTATTTTTAATACCATCTTTCAAAGGAATGACACCTTGACAAGGAACATAGTGACTGGAAATGTCTCTTTTAATAGAGAATAAAGTGTTTGAAGATAGAGGTGTTATAAATAAAATTTGTATTTATATCAATTAGTTATTTACCTTTGTAGTAGTGTCCACTTGTGCATTGTTTTTTACTAATATTGTTGCAACTTCCACCCTGTCTTCTTGTGCACAGAGATGTAATGGACTTAATCCATTCTGAAATCATATTTTAAAATTTTATTTTTTTATTTCAAGCATGATATATTCGAAATTTCTAAAATTTGATTGATAATTAATTATTGTTTATAAAATTAGATGCTCACTTTAGCTTTGTGATTGACTTCAGCTTGATGTTCAATGAGAAGACTTGACATTTCGGCATGTCCTTCTTGTGCTGAAAGATGGAGAGGTGTGAAGCCAGCTTTTGATTCAGCATTTGCTTTAGCTCCGTATTCTAGGAGTGTTGTTGCTATGTCCATCTGAAAATGGATAATTTCATAAACACATGTCATATTAATCATGCAATCCTCAATGCCAATGGAAATAACTTAGTGAAATTACCTGGTTCTTTCTCGCTGCTATATGGAGAGGGGTATGGCCATTCTTAGCAGTCGCATGTGGTGAAGCTCCCTTCTCTAGAAGAAGCAGTGCAACGTTTTGATGGTCGTAATGGCTGGCGACGTGTAATGGTGTCACACCATTCTGTGAAGGTAATAAAATCATTTGTACAAAATAAAATAAAATTCTTGCTTCATTCTTATTGTTTGAGTTGCTTTGATTTTTACCTTTCCTTGGGCATCAACTGGTGCCTCTCTTCTTAATAAAAGCTTGGCAACATTCATATTTCCATACTTGGCGGCAAGATGAAGGGGCGTAAACCCTTTTTTCGTAGTCGCTTCAAGTGAGGCTCCATTTTCAAGCAAGACTGAGGCCACCTGTAAAAACAACATTGATATATTATCAATTATTTAATGGTGAAGTGTCATGTAAATGTATTTAGAATAGAATTATAAGTACTGGAAGAGTCATTTAAAAAAACAACAACAATAGCTTAGCATTTCTTTTAAAACACAATGCCAAATAATCTGTTGTAATCATAATTCATAGTTTTATTTTTCATTTTATATATTGATTATTTATAACAAAGAATTATTACTTTTTTTTTTTAAATTACACTGCTATTTGTCTAATCATGACTTTTTTACGTGACTGGGCCTTCATGTTTCAATGTCAAAGAAAACTGCTGGACTACAGACGATACCACAATGTTTAAAACAAAACAATCTGTTTTGAAACAAATATGGAAGTTCAATTTATTTTCAACATTGATATTAATTCAAATATTTATTATATTACATATTTTGTAAATATGTTGATTAAGATGGAAGTGGCACAAGTCCAATTTTGATAGTTTTGGAATTTTCAGTATTTCGCATGTAACACTATTAAAAAAACAAGGTCCAAGTATAATTTTTTTTTTAGTTTTGCACTATTTAATAATAATAAAAAGTAAACATCTAAGTTTTTTGGTTCGAAAGAAAGTTTTTTTTCATAAAATAAAAAGTTATCTGACATATTACAATTGCTTTCATAGTAAATTCTTGCGAATTTATCAACTTAATTAAAATTGGTTTGATTCTAAACTAAAGAATTGCTAAAAACTGGTGAAGTACTCGTAAATATATTGTTATTCTCAAATATAGAAGTCGAGCTATTTGAAGCACTACATAATTTGTAATTGGAAAAATAATTGATTTACTATATCTTAGTTTTATAAATTAAAATGTTTTTCCCTCCATTGTATAATACTTAAGGTTTTTTGGAAACTTGGTATGGGCCATAATTCAGGAAGTATATAACAAATAATCATTGACAATTTTTTTTTTTTTTTTTACTTTTAGGATAATCTAACAACTGCAGGTTTTATTGAAACTGTCCAATCACATTTAATTTTATGTAATGAGATCTAAATTTCTTTCTCCTGCTCATATAAATTTTCTAAATTTCTCTTTCATTTTTAAGAATGTTGTTTCAAGTTGACCACAGCTTTCAGAACTTCATAAGTTTTATAAATGTTTACAATAAACTAATAATGAATATTTATTAAATAAAATAAGAGGAAGCAAAAATGTTTTTGAGATATTTAGTTTAAATGTTTTTAAAAAGTTTTTTGTTTATAAATATGTACCACATTATATTGCCTAAACATAGTAATATAATTTTGATGTAATAAAAATTAATATTGAAGCAAATATTGTGAAACAGCTGTTAAGAACTATCATAGACAGTTACGTTTGTGTTTGTCGAGATTTGGAATTCGCTAGGTGTATTTTAGTTATTCATTAAATTTATGCTTAAACTGATAAATGTTAATACTTTCTTATTACATTTTTTCTGATTAGAAGGCCATCAATACTTTGTATAAATGATTTATCCTTTGGAAATTGTCTATATTTGAAATAAATTATTTTGATTGTAATAATTTTATTTTATTCCATAATTTTTTTATCTTGTAGATATTGAAAATCAGTGCATATCTGAATGGCAGATATCCTAGAAAAGGTGGTTTGAATTTCCAATCTTCCCCTTAGATCAAGTTTACAACCATGAAAGAAGGGGCTGTGATAGTTTCATAAATCCAGAACTCTTGCAAATCATTTTTGGCTTTTAAGCTACATCTTCTTTTAAAAAAATATATTTTCAATGTTAAATAATTTAGAAATTTTAAAGTCACCAAACAGCTATTCTCAAAACTAAATATCCAACCATTTTTGAAAAATTTGTGTGATTTATTTTATCTTGTTCCAGAACCATTGATTAAATAAGGTTTTTGAAATACTTCAAATTGATGGGTATTTGAAACGAACATGTTGAATTTGACATATTATTTAATATATAGCCTAAATGTTATTTAAATAATAATGTTTTATGAAAGTGATCTTTTAATGGTTTTTATTTAATTTTTGGGATTACAGTTAATTTACTATTAAGATAAGTTTAACTTCCAAAATGCCTAGTAAACAAGGCACTGTTTTCTTTCTTTAGCCTAATCTAAATAGTCAGTTGGCACTCGGTGATTTTTTGATCCTTGCCAAATGAAAAGTAAGGATAAATATTACTATTGTACAGAATATGTTTATACCATTAGTTTAATTGAAAAAAGCCTTTAAGTAAAATTACACAGAATTAAATTTATTAATACTTTGATGAATTTTCGCTCTTTGAAATAAAATTATTGTGCAAATGTATTTGATATATAAAAAGATTACTATTTTTTCACTTATTGTTTTTGTATTCATAAATAAGGATGAAATTCACAGAAATGAACAAAAAATTTTAGCTCCCTAAAAATGTACTTTGAGGCTTTTTGCAATAAATGACAATATAATATCTGGTATAATTTTTCATAGAATGTCATTTTAATTTTATAATAATTAAATGGGATAAACTTTCTGAAATAAATTTATTTATGCTCATAATAGCATTGTGATGATTTATTCTTTTTTTTCTTTAGTTGAGAAGTTCCTGATTATTAATTATATGTTTGGCAAAGAAAAATTCCTTTGTTAGATGTAATTAGGGTATTTGTCACATAATATGACACGTGAATGTTTTGCCATCATCACAACTTCTTGTAGTATTTTGTTACAATTCTTTTCTGTTTTGTTTGTGTGCTTCTTCATCAGTTTTTTTTTTATTTTATTTTTTTAATTTTTTGACTTAGAAATGATCAGATACAACATATTTCTTGTCTACTAATTTGCTTCCTTTACCTACTGACAAATTAACTAATTACATGTCACAAAGGAAGTTTTCTTTCAACAAACTCATAACAAATGTGATAATTTGATATATTTAATAGAAAAAATAAATTAAATTTAAATTTATTCCAAATCTGGCGACTCTGTGAAGTATAGATAATGTGGATTGGAAGAATTTAAAGATGGAAAGAATCTAGCAAATATATAGAAAGTCCGAGTTCTTCAACTTGATTGATTTAGATGGTAATTTAATAATGATTAGTGTTCCTTAAAAAAATATAAGTAGCCTTTCGTAATATAAGTAGCCATAGATTAAAAGACAAAACAAAAAACTTAAAATAGTTTGAACTGGTTGACTTCCATAACTTAACCAAAATAATTATTATGAACTCTCATTTGATCAATCAAAAACATTTCTTATTCAGGTGTGGTCAGTCATTATAAGCAATTTTCACATCACAATTCAATAACTAAATCATTAAATTATTTGGTAATTATTTAGATGAGGACCGCATGGGTTACACCTGGTTCACAATCACTTCAGTCACAGGTGTTCATGGAGTGTGGAATGCATCCGGGTTTTTACCCCGACATGAAAATGCACCGCGGCCTCATAGAGACCTCTTCTGCGTCGTGATAAAACAGGCCAGATGCCTTTGCGAACTTGTTAAGACTAATGGGATTTATCAATTCACAGTGTTTAGGGACAGTGATATGATCACATGCACGCATCCAAATTGAAAGTTTCTCAGTCCAGCCAAATTATCCCATCTACATATAATGTAATAGGCGGTTTCATCCTCCAAGCCATAGTTTACAGGTGGAAATCTCATTAAGCCCAAGTTAAAGAGGTGCTTATTGAGTCGACAGTGACCAGTATACAGTCCAGTCATACACCAAATGGTGCTCCTGTCCATTAGAAGAAGTGGCATGCTTCTCTTGTGACAGGGTACTTCTAGAAACAATTTAGAGTGATTTTGTTTCCTAGTCTGTTCCCAATAGAGCCTAGTTTCATGGCAAACAACTGCCTTAATATGCCTTTTGGCATAGCTGAGGCTAACCCCACAGATGGGCTCTGGTGCAACCGGTACTGGTACAGAGCCCTTCCTAGCAAGGCAATCGGCTTTCTCATTGCCTGAATGCCCAGGTACCCATTCAACCCTCACCTTGTTAATGATGCATCCGGGTTAATCCGAAAGACTGTTTTCGGCATTTCATGAACAAGTGTGACCGAAATGATTGTGAACCATGCGTAAACCGTGTGGTTCTCAACTAAATAATTACCTCATATATGTATAATTTATGTAAGATAATGATTTCACAAAAAAAATCAATGTCTGTGTAGATTATCGTAGATTTTTCTCACTAGCTAATAATAAGATTTTTTTGCAGTAAAAATACCCTTTAATGTGTAATACAAAAGTATGCAACATATTTTGCAGTAAAAAAACTATTCATTGTATTGAAGAGTTATAATAAGGAAATTATGGACTGAAGAATAATTTGCTTAAAAGATTTAATAATAACCGGCAATAAAAAAGAAATTCAATAGGATTCCGAAATTCATGGTTAAGTTTTTATTATTAGTTAAAAATAAAAAAATTATAATTTATTTCATGCCAAATGGCACGTAGAAATGTATTTATATAATAATTCTTTTAACTTAAATTTTAATGTAATTTTTTTTTTCTTTAAAAATATTATTCATACATTTTTTTTTAGAACTTAATACCACTGTTTGTCTGCTAATTACGTTTGATTATAAGAAAAACAATTTTAAACCTCTTTGTCTGAAAGCCAAATGTTTTTGTTTTCACTAGTCTGCATTAAATACTTTTTTTATGTTTATTAACAATCACTTATTTTTTGTATGAAATTCTATACTTGATAGAATTTTACAATTTTGTTAATGCATTCTCTTTCGATGTTAGTGGAACTGCGGTTAGTTCTACTACTAAGACATGTTAGTTTAGAAAGAAAGAAGTTATGAATGAATCAATGAATTTATTTTCACAACATTCCAAAAACTATAATTTACATAAAAAAAAACATTCATTTTATTCAGAAATATTTCTGAACAATAAAAAACAAAAACAACTAACAAAATCATTTCAGGCAGATTCAATTTTGTCTTATTACTTACTAAAAAAAAAGTAGTATAGAGGTTGCTCGAC